TTTGGATGAAATGTCTAGAACAGGTAAATTCATCCAGAAAGAAAGTAGATTAGTGGTTGCATAGTGCTGGACAGATTAGAGGAAACAGGCAATGACTGTTAATGGGTATATTGCTTCTATCTGTAGTGATGAACCCATTCTAAAACTGATTTTGAGTCTGTTGTATGTTAATTATATCTCAATAAAAATATAAATAAGAAAATAAAAGGGTAAAGCAAAAAAAAAATAAGACTGTGGTGATGGGTATGTAAACTTATCTCACTAAAAACACTAAATTATGAAAATTTAAACTGCTGAATTATATGGTACATGAATTCTATCTCAATAATGTTGCTAAAAATAAAAAACAAGAATAGGCTGCAGGATTTACAGGGTTAGCTTTAGCAAGCAAGCCAGTAACAGCTGACATTTGCCCTTGGCCCCAACTCTTACCCCGATTCTCCCCAACAAAGCACACAGCTAGCTTCTTCATCCTAGACCCTTGAGGTCATGTGTGGGGATGAGCAGACCACAGGTGGGAAGGCCCAGAGCAGCCCAACAGGAAGGAACCACGTTCAGCACAGCCTTCAATGGCCAGTTACAGTGTTAGTTAAACTGTGGACAAGAAAGTGGGAGTCCCATTGCAGCCAAGACACAGTAAGCCCAATGCTGCCTCTCTCAGGCTGACCACCACCAAAACCCACGAATGAAGTAGGAAAACCAGGCTGCTGGGACTGCGGCAGGTAGGCTCAAGTGATGGTCATGGAAGAGAGTCCCAACTGGGGAAGTGCTGTGCAGGGAAGCATTTCCCTCTCTTTCCAGAGTTTTTTATAGCTTTGCCCACTGGGCTCCCCTAATGTTCATGGCGGTGTGGGATGTGGTATGGGAGGGTACAACTCAGGTGGAAACCTTACCTTTCTAACCAGAGGAATCAATGAAAGGGACCCCTGCAGACCAGAGAGTGGGTGTGGGAGTCTTTTGGGGATTTCCCTTCTCTTTTCTTTTGTAGCTCTACCCAAGAATAGTTCTCAGTCACAGAGCAATGTGGAGCTGGTGACGTGGGCAGGCAAAATCACAGAAACCCCATCTTCTGACCAGAGGACCAGAGAAAGGGGCCCCCAAGTGCTGGAAAGTGTGAAGACTAGGAAAGGGGGAGGAAGAAGGGGACCCCACAACACTGAGTGAGCATGCATGAGCCCCAGGCTCATCCCGGAGTATGCAGGACAGATCCAATGGCTTAGCAATGGCTTTGAGAACTCAACTGAGATTGAAAACCCTGCCAAGCTTCAGACTAAGCCCTGCATAGCTTGTGGGTGGGTCATGCCAAAACAGCACAGCACAGGCTCTGGAAATTGGACCGACACCGGAGGCACCTCCCACAAAAAGCAGGATGGCACGTGCAGTATTAATCTAACTAGGGTGATAGCCTGCTTAAAAAAATTACCCTTCTCCAGAGAATTATGTAACAGGATTCAACATACAGAATATATTCATAATGTCCAGGGTACAATCTAAAATTACTTGACATACCTCAAAACAAATACTAGATGTCAAACCTACTAATCTGGGGAATCACCAACAGCTTTAAAGCCCCTGCTGATGAGAGGAAGGTATAATGAAGAAGACAGTGCCTTCTCAGAAGAGAAAAAAGAACCCTAATAGAAATTTTGAACGCAAAAATGCAAAATCTGAAATAAACTTCTGGATGGGCTCAATGACAGTGGAAATGACACAGGAAACAGTGAATCTGAAGATGGATTGGTAGAAATTATACAGTCTTCTACCATAGAGGACAGTTTGGAAAGGCAAATAGACGAAATTCCTTTTTCCAGCACTGGAGACCTGCTGGATAAGAGCCAAAGGTCTAATACTCGTCACTGAAGTCCCAGAAAGAGAGGAGGATGAGTTCCAAGCAAGAAAACTACAGAAAGAAATAATGACTGAGAACTTCTCATATTTGGTGGAATACATATAAATTTAGATTCCAAACTTCAATTTAGAATTTAAGAAAAATTTCCTGCAGACTTTCTTAACTCATTCAAACTTCTCATAAATATCATAATTTCTAAGCTGTTAAATTATCTTGCCTTCAGTTGACACTTACTTTCATTTAACACCATAGACTGCCAAAGGACCACTATTTTATGCAGTGTTTAAAAATGCTGCCAAATGATTTTATGATGCCATTGTAAATGACATGTCCTGATGTCACAGATGTGAAAATATTAAATAACAGTAAAACAAAAAAGGCACACCTGGAAATAAATACAAAGCATATAACGTCAGGCAGCACTGAGCCAGACACAGACACCATGGTGAACAAGGTGGGTACGTCACCCATCCTGATACCTAGCCTTTCTCTAACATTCCTCCTTGCCCTTTCTTCATAGTGTACCAAGAAAGACAAAATACGCACTGAGAAAAACTCACTGATCTCACTCTGGGCAAAGCCCCTCTATCACACTCTTCAGCAAGGGGAGAACACAATCTTACAACCACTCAGTATCTGCCCTGTCTTCCTAGTCTCTGCTTTTTATCCTCTGTTGTTGCTGTTGTTTCTGGAAAGGGTAACAGGCTTAGTAGTTTTCAATTTTTAATTGATATCTATTTTTCTCCTCAAAATAAAATTCTTAATACTCCACCTAGGTTTGCAAACTACACAAACTGCTTTCTTTACTTTAATAAAAGATAATTTATTTTTGTCTTAACCGAAACAGTTTTATGTATCTTCAAAGTTCATTTCATTCTCAAGCTATTTATAAAATACTAAGAGAATGCAGTGGAAATTAAGGTTTTCTTTTTGGGGGGGGTGTTTTTTTTTTAAATAAGTTTCCAGAGTTCTTAAAATTTCACCTGTCATTAAGTGACAGCCAAGGACATAGTTTTCCTCAGAGCATTTCCTCAGACCACTTACTTCTGAAATAACACACAAGCTTACAGGCCCAGGAGTGCATCTCTAATGAGATCTTACTCACAGTATCAAATCTTTGGGGGAAAAAAGGCAAGGCTTCCTTCCACCACATTAAAAAGTCTAAATTCCTTTTTCCAGATGTACAATTTTTATTTAAAATAAAACATCTTTAACCCCAGTATTTTGAGTGCATGTGGCAGGCCCTACTATTCTGACTTGTAGCGTTTTCTTACATGAGTCACAGTGGTCAGAAAGTAACAGGACTAGGCTTGATTAAACAGCACTCTGGACGCCCCACCCACCCAACTAGAAGTCTCCAGTCTGTTACTTTCATCCACAGAGCCAAGGGCCTTTTAAAAAATGTAATACTGGGCCAGGGATTTAGCTCAGTGGTTCTGCCACCTGCCTCGCAAGCACAAGGACCCGAGTTTGATACCTGGTACAAAAAAAAAGACAAAGAGCAAGTTTTAAACCTAGAAAAAAAAAAAAAAAAAAAAAAAAAAAAAGTAATACTAGCTTTGTAATAGAGTAGACTTAGTGTGGTCAAATTTGGTCTTCTTCACACAAACCAGAAAGGCCTTTCACAGTGGGCTCATGGCTCCTCTTCTGGCAGCAGGGACATGCGGAGGCATCCTGCTCCAAAGCAAAAAGGCACCTGTACTGAGAATGTGTACGTCTCAGGGCCACCGCTTGCCATACAGCTGACTGTGGTCAGGACATCCTACCAGTAACTTTTCCTAGAGCTAACTAAGCTAGAATATGCACAGGTCTCTTCTCTGGCACACGGATTTGGTTTCCTGTGAGCTAGCCTCTCTTTGGCTAAACACCTAAGAGCTCACACTGCAAACAAACTCTGGGACACAATCTCCAGTCCCAAACCTTTCCATGTGGCTGTCTGCAAAATCCCTGTACAGATGTTCTCCAGGAAAAGGAAGTAGCTTCAAGGCCCACATGTGGAGATCCTATCAGATAAGCTCAGGGCACCCTAATCTGTTTCATCTGCTGAGCTGATGTGGGGCCATTTACCAAGTCTGGACATAAACTGAGCTCTGAGTTCAATTCTCAATCATCAGAATGTCAGCCATGTGAGGCAGCCTTGAGAAAAAAATGATCAATATTTTGCCCCCAAAAAGCATACTCACATTATCTTTTTGTTCTAAGTGGGAGGTGAGAAGCTAGAGAGGTGAAGGTCAGGAGTTGAAAATATTATTTGATAAAATAATTATTTTTGCAAGCTGCTGCACTGCTGGGATTTGGCACAGAGAAGTGCCCGCCTCACGAGCTGATACCCACCACCGAGCAGCTCACCACCTGCAGCCCGGGGCTGGGCCCAGGGGAGGAACGCCAGCAGACCCTGGCTTCCGGCCATGCTACCTCTCTTCAGGACACTGGATCAGACACAGCAGATATCCAGCCAAAAAAAAGGCAGAAAGAAAGAAAAGGAAAAGAAAAGGCAAGGGGGAGAAGGGGAAAACTAAAATTTGGACTTGGAGGGTCCTTTCAAACACTTTAATCCTTTCGTGCTGATGGTTCCTGGAGCGTCTGGGCCTGGCAGTGGACCCTGCATGGGGAAAATCTGACTCCCTAAACCAATGCGTTAAAGAGAAGGCAGCTAATCAGCTAAATAGAAACTGGAATCTGTTTACATCAAGTCTCTTTTTTCCTCCATCACCAGAGGGACACCATAGTGTTCTGAAATACACTCTTGACATCATTTGGCAGACAATCCTATTTTGTTGAACATGATTCATCCCTTAGGTTATTGTTTTTAATATTAGAAAGTGAGCTTTTAAATGCCAAACAAATTTTGCAGCAGGGGGACAGAAGATATTCCAAGTGGTCTCACTGGACCTTCCACCAACTGTGTCCACCAACTGGCCGAAAAGAAAACCATCCCATGGTGCTTCAGAAATGAAGCGGAGACACAGCTAGATCCAACTATTACCTAATGCAAGACTCTGTTCTCCAAGTTCAGAGTCTGTTGAGGCTAAACTCAGGTGGGCAAAGCTGCAGTGTGTGGCAGAGACCAGCCAGCACTCTGGACGTTGGCAGGCAAAGCCTCCATGGAAGGGCAGTGCCGCCAAATGCTGCCTTTTTGACTCAGACATACCTCCTGTCCATGTTGCCGCTGACCATGAGGTTGGGAGGGCTGTCCCGGAGGTTGACGCAAGTGAAGTCACCAAGTGCATTACCCAGCTTCGAAAGGCAGCGTTCTGCTTCCAGGCTGTACACCAGGATCTGAGAGAGGGGGAGAAACAAGGTGGGTGCTCAAGTCCATACATCAGACTAACATCAGTTTCCAGTTGCCCCATCACGCAAGGCACAAGCACTCCACTCTCCCCTGCTAAAGAAAATGTTCTGCACCCATAGTGACAGTGTAGGAATGTGGCCATTACAATGACAAATGGAAATACCAAAGATGATAGAGGAAAATCCCAAGTTCCTCAGGTCAAGGTACAAGAGGTTTATAGGACTCATAGGAAGAAACCAAATGGGAAACTAGGAATGTGTCGTTTTGTTGTAGTTGCTACTTTTGTGGTGCCGGGGATGGAATCTAGGGCCTACTGCAAACCAAGCAAGGCTCTGTCCTGGGGTTAGCTATCCCATCTCCGGTTCAGGTATCTGAATTCTTTTTTTTTTTTAGTACCAGGGATCGAACTTGGGTCCTTCTGCTTGTGAGGCAGGCGCAGGAACCACTGAGCCAAATCCCCAGCCCTCCAATTCTTTTTTAACAGAAAAAAAGGGAGGAAACGAAGGATCACTGACTACATCTGATTTGGAACTAATGGGAATTCTAAGAAGGGATCAGAAAGTTTACAGATGACCAGGGGTTGGGGGTGGGGCTCTATTCCCATATTTACACCATAGAAGGAAAAGAATGAACAGTACATGTATCCAGAAAGATGAAGCACAGTTAACCATCAAATGATTCCTTTAAACAAACTCCAGAGCTGGGGATTTAGCTCAGAGGTTCTGCCACCTGGACCCGAGTTTGATCCCTGGTACCCAAAAAAATAAAAAATAATACAAAAACAAAAAAACAAACTCCACACCAAACAGGCTTTTTCCCCACTCTCCCTTGCTAATTGGATGAAGCTCTGTCACACAGGTATGAAAGCAAGGAAGAAGGTGCCTTTGATCTCCAGACAATGGATTCATCATCTTCAACTACTTCTGATCCTTTTCTCCAGCAAAGGGGGCAGACAGAAATAAAGGATGAGTATTACAGACTGCCTTTTACTAAAAATACCTACTAATCCAATGCAATTTAGTTCATTATAAGTAAGTGCTAGCTCTGGCCACTCTGGTAGGTGCTGAGGAGTTAAATAGTCCTTGCTCCCAAATTCACACTTCAAAGTGTCCAATGACACAGACACATTCCACGTTCCAAGCAAACCATCTATTCTGCTGATCATGTGGTAAATATTTAAAAATTAATCACTAAACTCAACAACTTAATACTAATGCTTTTTAGATTCTCCTCACAGCACACATGCAGAAATGGCATGCTTTCCTTAACCTATACACTTATCACTTATCAATGTTCTTACTAAGAAATTAATAAAAAATCAAATCACCTCAGCCAGGCATGGTGGCACATGCCTGTAATCCCAAGCACTTGGGAGGCTGAGGCAGGAGGATTTCTGTAAGTTCAAGACCAGGTTAGGCTACATAGTGAGTTCCAGGTCAGTCTCAACTACATAGTGAGACCCTGTCTCAAAAAAACAAAACAAAAAAATCACCTCTACCCTGAAAACCAGCAATATTGTTGTCAGCACCCATTTCTAACAAGCGAATCTTTAACAAGTGTAATTCCTGATAATTAAACATTACCATAATATTAATGAATGATTGCTAACAGCATCTAGAAGGAAAGATGACAACTTCAGAGTTCAAATTACCTTCCTTGTTGATTCATAAAATTACAGAGAACAAGGAGGATTAAGTTAAAAACAAGTTTCTGACTCAGGAAAATTTCAACAATTCTAAAATAACCAAAAATAAGATGCTTCCAAGCAAGAATATAGAAATAAACCTATTTTCAGCTAATAACCTAAAAACCCATTAATGGAAGGACAAGAAAAAATTTAAACACAGCAACTTGATAGTGCATCAGAAAGCTAGTATTTTGTGACAATTTCAAAATGGCTATATTTCTAATGCTCCCAACATAAAGAAACAATCAAGCCTGAAACAGTGGATAGGCCAGTTACCCAGATCTGATCATCACACATTGTATACACGTACTGACATGTCACGCTATACTCTATAAATACATACCATGTGTCAATTTTAAAAATATTTGCTAACTTTTTAAAAAAAGTAGTCTTTTGCACCTATCATTATAGAGCTTTCAGTATTTGTACTCCATATTTTCTTGTTTATAAAAAATACTTCCGTAGCAGGAAGCTAGTCCTCTAATTGGAAACAAGTCCATGGCAAATGTAAGAACTGAAATCTGATACTGAGTCAGTTTGTATCTTTACTTTTTCTAGAAGTTCTTTTTGACAAGTAGATGAATCATTTCTGAGTGATACAGGGAGATCTAATACCTCGCCAAAAAGACTCTACAAATTCATCATAAAGACATCTAAGTCAGCAGTCAAGAGTCAAGTAGTTTCTGAAATGTTCAATAATTCAATGAATCAGAACTAGCAAAAGAGAACCTTCACCACTGTGTTTAGTTAAAGACCACAGAGATTAGAAAACACATTACGGACTCAAAGGCGGGTCTTCACGTTACTGGTCCCTTAACAACCTTTACCATGGCTCCCTCCCTCTGCACTCTCTCTCTTTTAATAAGGTTGAGCAAATGGGACTTCATTTTATCTGAATGCCACAGACTAGTGAGTTTAATTATTCATGCTCACACTCTCCCTCTTGTTAAGACCATGCATTAGACTAATTTTTCTCTTTACTGCCTTAGTTGGGCAAGTCTCAACCCACGGCCATTTGGCTCATCCTCAGAGGTGTACAGATATGCTGGAAAGAAGGAAAACACAACCCATCGCTGCAATCATGGAGAAAATATTCTTCACTAATGTGACCACCAGGTCAATAGACACTGTTGGGATTTTTTTCTGTTAAGTACTAAATGTATATTAGGGGAGAGTTTAGCCAGTGAGTACAGACAAATTTTTATTGGCATTAGATACTTCTTTAAGAGTTACCCCAAACAGCTAAATTATGTTGAGATTGTTTGGTGTTCTGCAAAGATACCTACAGGAAATGCAGTGTGTAAACACAAGACACACAAGATGTAGAAAGCACTATGCAAACAATAACATCATCTTTACAAGGAACTTTGGCCGAAAATTTTCTAATCTTTTTTTTTTTTTTGGCAGATCTTAAATTACTACTGATAAAAATTAGTCTTTGTAAATTAAAGATCTTTTTGTTGGCCTCCATTTAAAAAGGGGAGTTACAAAGACAGCAAAAGAACCTTAGCTTTCATCAATTGTCCTGATTTCTCTGAATCTCTCTCTACAACTTTTTTGATTTCAAGCACTGTATATGACATCTCATAACAAAGGCTAACAATAACAGTTACATAACAAAGGAAAGTGCTAGACCTCTATATACCATCTCGCAGGAGTAATCTTCACAGTGTGATCTACATGTTTTTTAGGATTTTTTTTTTTTTTTTTGGTACCAGGGATCAAACTCCTGATCTTGTGCTTGCAAGGCAGGCAGCAGAGCCACTGAGCTAAATCCCTGGCCCATTTTTAGGCTTTTTAAATGCAACTATATTTCTGTGGGGGTGTTTCATTTGGGGGATAGGTTTGTTTGTTTGGTTTTTGGAAACAGGCTCTCACTATGTAGTCTAGGTTGACCTTGAATTTGCTAAATTGCTCAGGCTGCTTCAAACTTAATGATCTTCCTGTTTCAGCCTCCTGAGTGCTGAGTTTACAGGCATTCACAGCTATTCACAGTTATCTATTTTTAAAATATATGTATATAAACTTTTTCCCACATGGGGTGTTTTACAACTTGCTTTCTACTTGTTAGTCAACTTGAGTAAGAAATGCTCAGTTCTGGGTATGGCTGAGAAGATTACTAAAGACACAAGACCCACCCCCGGGCAGCAGTCACCTGAATCTATAAAGGGGAAATGAGGAAGGACAGATTTGCCTCTATTTCTTCGGAGGATCTGCAGTCTTCACCTTCACCTTGGAGGTCACCTCCTGGCTTCTAGCACAGACTCTTCCGCCTCCATGTAGACTTCCAGCCATCTGGCCTTCTCATATGGACTTGAACAGGCACAGTACATGGAGCTCCGGGCCTCTGACTAGATCCTTCCATCTCTAGCAGCAGACACATCTGGCTCTGTGGGTGGCCACTGTAAGCCCATCTTGTAAATTCTTATATATTTGTATATCTTTGCATTAAATCTGTTTCTCTAGTAAGCACGACTGGTACAATATCTATAGATATATCTTGCTCTTTTGAGTGGCTACACAGAATTTCTCTAAATACATAATTCTATAATGATGGATATTTGGATTGTTTATACTTTTTTTTTTTTGGTCCCAGGATCAAACTCAAGACCCTGTGCTTGCCAGGCAGGTGTGCAGCACCACTGAGCTATATCCATGGCCTGTTTATACTTTTTCTATAAAACAAACAATGCTATAATTCATTCAACAGCCAGTCAACAAATATTTATTAATCACCATCTATGCACAAGGCATTAAAATGAACAGGGACACAAATGACGTGCAGAATTCTTAGTTTACTGCCAGCTGAGAGTCTGTCTCCTCACCAGCTGCTGCCGGCCACCAGCTGTCCTGCTCCTCCACACCCGGGACCTCCTCTCTGTGGAGACCATTGACCGTCTGATAGCTGTGTCTTAGCAGCTGTGTCTTAAGCAGCAGGAGCAGTGTGATGGAGTCAGGAGGGAGGCAACAACCACTGGCTCAACATCTGGGACACATCAGCAACTGCCCTGCACAGAGGCCTGCGTCTTCCACGTGTGACCTGGAGCATGAGGGTGGCCAGATGTTGCTGATTTTTGTCCTTGTGGGTGGGGTGAGCTCAAAGCAAGCACAGCCTCCTCACTCAGCAAGAACAAGATTTGACACTGCAAATTCTTCTGAAACTGGGAACTGCCGTTACTCTCTGCAGCAACCATGCGCTACATGCATATAGAAATCATGATCTCGTCCAATTATTGGTGTCTTGATACTGATAATGAGAAAAAGAAGGGTGTGTTTTAAGTTTACCAAAATACTGAAGGG